TGGTCGGAATGAAGAGCTTTCAGAGAAATTATGAACTGATACACGAACGAATAGAGTTAAGATTCGTACATTTCCTTGCTGTGGTGGCTGAGAGCAGACATACAACCGGAACGGTAAAAAAGCTTTGGTGGCTGAGAGTAGACAAACGACCACAAAGGGTTAACTCTGTCTGCAGCCGTAGAGAGCTGGTCAGCAGACAGGAGAATTTGTCCCATCTTCAGGGAGAAATAAGGTCTGGCCTATGCCTCGTTGGGAAGGGGCAAGGCCTGCCTTGTACATGCTTCTTGGGGTGAAACTTCAGACTACTAGGGATGACAGTCAACTTCAGTTACCCTAGGCAGCAAGGAGGTCCACTATTTTCACAAGTCATAGATCTGTGAATCTAGATTTCCCCTCTTTCTATCTACCAAACCACATTGACTGCCAGCAGATATTCATGGCTGCTTAGCAAACATCACATCTCTTGCTCAAACAAAATAAAAACAGCTTTCTCGGTAGTACATATGGACCAGGGTCTAGTAACCAAAGGAAGTGGGTAGGTAGAGAGGATTAGATAGTAAACTCTTTATCAGGAACAATTGCATACATTTTACCACTGCTTGCCTCTGATCCTTTTGTTCCCACCCACAGCCNAGTGTTTCCTCCTGTCTCTCCACTTCTGATCTTTGGCAATTAACCCTTTGTGGTTGTATTAAATTTGGACATGGGTGTCGTACTGGTCGGAATGAAGAGCTTTCAGAGAAATTATGAACTGATACACGAACGAATAGAGTTAAGATTCGTACATTTCCTTGCTGTGGTGGCTGAGAGCAGACATACGACCGGAACGGTAAAAAAGCTTTGGTGGCTGAGAGTAGACAAACGACCACAAAGGGTTAACTCTGTCTGCAGCCGTAGGGAGCTGGTCAGCAGACAGGAGAATTTGTCCCATCTTCAGGGAGAAATAAGGTCTGGCCTATGCCTCGTTGGGAAGGGGCAAGGCCTGCCTTGTACATGCTTCTTGGGGTGAAACTTCAGACTACTAGGGATGACAGTCAACTTCAGTTACCCTAGGCAGCAAGGAGGCCCACTATTTTCACAAGTCATAGATCTGTGAATCTAGATTTCCCCTCTTTCTATCTACCAAACCACATTGACTGCCAGCAGATATTCATGGCTGCTTAGCAAACATCACATCTCTTGCTCAAACAAAATAAAAACAGCTTTCTCGGTAGTACATATGGACCAGGGTCTAGTAACCAAAGGAAGTGGGTAGGTAGAGAGGATTAGATAGTAAACTCTTTATCAGGAACAATTGCATACATTTTACCACTGCTTGCCTCTGATCCTTTTGTTCCCACCCACAGCCTCGGTGGCCTGAGGCTGTAATAGTCCTACTCTCGTGCTAGAGGGGGGCTGAAGGTTGGGGAGGGGCAGTCAGGGCTCGAAGCCAGCGCTGCCCACAGCAGGGGAAGCGTGTGGGCTGAGTCAGAACTTGAACGTCTCTCTAGCAATCACCTTTAGGGCGGCTCCTCGTTCGATTATGCCCAACATCCTGAGGCACAGTGTACCACTGAGTTGTTATTATTTAAAGTAAGTGCTGGTCTTGATGTGATGGGATATGATCTATATTACATCCTGGGAGGTGCCCTCTCCCATGATCACAAACTAGTGGATTTCCTTTGACAAAATCAGGAAAACCTTGGTAAGGGAACTCAAGGTACTTTACTTGACATTTAAAGCAGGGAGCCTGGTTTCCCTTTAAATTCATTGATGAGAGTGGATTAGTCAAGTTTTATAATTTTAACTCTTAAGCATTTTTGGGTCCCAGGTCATATTTATTGTTTAAATTATGTTTTTGTGCCGGGTTCTGTAACAATTAGACCCCAATATAAAGAATAACGACCGACCTGTTAGATTAGTTTTAATGACTTTTCTCGATTTATCACCTTTTGTACTGAAGGAAGGGCTGGCTTGAATGAGAGTTTTCTAAGAAAAAGTGAGTACTTTGCAGTATTTGGAATGTCTTGATTCCTGCATTTGATCTTTGTATTTAGTTTTAACCTTGAAAATAAAAATTGTAACATAACCAAGCACAGAAATTTGTATGTTTTGAGCAATTTCTTCCCAGAAGTTTGTTCTACAGTGACTCCGAATGACTTTGACCCATTGAAACACCGTCATAAGCCAGGAAGTGAGCCGTTAAGACGTCTGATTCACTGTAGGAACTAAATTCAGTTGAGGAACTAAAATCTGTGTATTTTAGTACTACGGGGAAAACCCAAGGCCTTTGCTCAGAATGTATTTGCTTAATTTTGCATATGACTATAAACTTTAATTATCTGTTTCTCAGATTATACACTGTTTAGAAAGTGCCATTCAGGAATGTGAGGCTGACAAAAGACAGGCACAGTGACATTGAAAGTATATCTAGCCCAGCCGGGCGTGATTCAGTAGTTGAGCATCGACCTAGGATCCAGGAGATCAGGGTTCGATTCCCGGTCAGGGCACATGCCCGGTTGTGGGCTTGATCAATGACTCTCTCATCATTGATGTTTCTATCTCTCTCTCCCTCTCCCTTCCTCTCTCTCAAATCAATAAAAGATATATATATATAAAAAAAAGAAAGTATATCTAGTCCGATAGGAGGATGGGAAAGAGAAAAATTACTATTCTTTGTAATGAAACACATCATGTTTTATTGTTTATGAAGAAAAATTTAGATTCTGGATTATTTATTTTGCCTCAAAAGGCACAGAAGTACATAATATATTTTAAAATTTAATATTATTTAAATAAAATAAGTTTTACAACTTAAAGTGCTTTACTTTGTGTATTATCATCTGTAGAACACTGCACTGGAGTTACTCCCTATGGGTGATATCAGTGATTTGTTAATACACTAATAAGCGGAGAGGTAACATGGTAACCCAGTGGTTCTTAGACTCTTCTAGTCCAGATCCTGGTTCAGAATTTCTGACTAGGAATCCGATGCAGAACACAGGCGAGGAAGAGGCGTCCCGATTTCAGTGAGGGCCCATGGGTCCCTGAGCCTCCTCGGTGCCCTCCCACTGTCCTCAGTGACTATGTAGAAGCCTCACCCAGTCCCTGGAGCTCCAGAGAACTTAACGCCGAGCACAGGGTCAGGCACAGAGCTAGACCAGGACAGGAGAGATTGGGAAGGGAGGAGGCTTACAGGCATCTTAAACCACAGCCCATCTGTGGCGCCTGCTGTGCTGCCCGCAGTGTAACCTGCCAGGGGCTGGTGGCTAGCGACTAGACGGGAGTCAGCTCCAGTTTGCTCAGGCCACCCTCTGATCAGCAACGTGACTCAGGTACCCCATGCACTCGCCGCAGGTACTGCTCCAGCAGCGACCCCCCCC